AAAAAACACCCCAATTACAAATCGATTTTAGAAACAAATTTTTTCTTGATCAAACAGGCCTAGTATTTATAACTGTTTTTAATGTGGGTTAAATGTATTTTATGTTATGTAGTGTTTGCTGAACTGTTGACCTGAAGGTTGGTGGCTCGAATCCACATGACGGGGTGAGCTCCCATCTGTCACCTCCAGCATCCCATGCGGGGAAATGAGAAAAGCCTCCCACAGGATGGTAAAACATCTGGGCATCCCCTGGGAAACATCCCTGCAGATGGCCAATTATCTCACACCAGAAGCAACTTGCAGTTCCTCAAGTCGCGACTGATATGAAGAAAAATCTACTTACTAATGTATTTACTTTTTTAGAATTTTGTGTATACTTATACAGATTGCTTAATAGCATGTTTTTATTTTTTTGCATTAAACCCTTTTGCCGGCAGGATTGGTTGACCGAAAGGTTGGCAGTTCAAATCTGGGGAGTGAGGTAAGTTCCTGTCTGTCAAGCTATAGCTTCTCATGTGGGGACATGAGAAAAGCCTCCCACAGGATGGGAAAACATCCAGGCATCCCCTGGGCAACGTCCCTGTAGACAGCCAATTCTCTCACAGCTAAAGCATGCTTTCTTTCCCCGGCTACACCAGCCACACAGGCACTCTTTCCAAGGCATTTTAAGGAGGCTTCCCACTTGCAGGTAAGGAAGAGCGATGACCTTCTGGAAGAGGAGAGTTCCTTTTAGGGAATGAGGGTTTACTTTTTGTAAAATTAAACTGTGATGCCGAAAAGCAGGCCATGACCCGAGACCCACTCCTGCTTGCTTTCGTGTCATGCTCATTTTCGTACTGGCAGGAGCCTTCCAGTTCTATGCTCCCCAAGTACCGAAAGAAACGAAGGAAACAAAGGATACCGGAGAAACAAATTCCATGCACAAATCTATAAAACACTCCAGTGTTAATACTGATGCATGACTGTGTCTAATTGTGTCTAATTGTACCAAGCAGGCAAGAAGTTAAGAGGTGTGTTTTCTAATGATGATGGTGAGGTTACAAAAAATGAACATGGTTTGGGGCATATTTGCAGTATGTGTTGTTTCATGTGTATTCTGCACAATGTATATATATTTGCAAATGATTTTCTCTAACATTATACACATATGTGTACATTAATATCTGCCATACATGGACATTTTTTTGCACGCTTTGCCTTAGTATGCCTACTTTTTATGCATTTTCTAACTAAAGAACTTGATCTAAAATTTTGGAGAAGTTCAACAAGAGAAGTGTAACAGCCTTTCCATTTGGGAATTACAGACTAGAAAGGTTGGCATTAATTTTTTAACAGAATTGATTTCTCCCTCTTTCCTAGTACAGATATGGTATTTTTAACCCTCATGCACTAGGACAGGACATTTGAATCCCCAAGATTCTCATTTTGCATCAGCAGCCATGTAGAACTAGGCCTACAGTGCAGACATTTCATGACATTGTGATCTCCACAGTTGTAAACATTGTTTGGAGTCCTCTTGGTGACATATGCATTCCTAACTGGAGCTTACATGGGTCTGCGCTTTCCTTTTAACATGGCATATGGACTACTCACAAGTCTCTTGTACCTGATGCAAGACCTCAGGCTTAAGTCAAGCCCCAGGGAGCCCCGTTCTAGGCATTCAATGGCCGCAATAAGGCAAAGGAGATGCTCCTGGCTTTCTCCATGTATTTTGTTCTCCATCCTTGATGCCATTCTCTGAACCGGCTCCAACTTGGC